TCACTAGTCCCTTCACCTGTTTTCTCTTGGCCCTGTACTTTTCCCAACTCTCCTCAGACGCCTCACTCAGGTACTGCTTGAAGACTTCTCTACGTTCCCCTATTTCTTCTTTCAGCTCGTCATCCCACCACTTAACCGATACCCCACATCGTACCACCTTCTTTCCCACTACTCTCTCTGCCGTTGCGTTCACGATGGACTCGCACCCTTCAATCACCCTGTCCCCTGTTGCTTGTGCGTCTACCTGTTCGTCTTCGACGCTTCTCAGCAGTTTTCTGAAGGGTTTTACACTACCAGCCAGTCCCTTCTGGAATTCATCCCGTGTCCCCTCGTCTCCCAAACGCTCTACTTTCCACCGGAACACTTTCCTCTGTTTCTTACTCTCCATCTTTCTAGATCGGTCGATGTTTGCCCATATGAGGAAGTGGTCGGTCGAACCTATATCTATCGCACTTACGTGCAGCTCTGGGATCTGCGTGCTCTCCCTATCTACCAGGATGTAGTCGAGGATTGAGTATTAATTGCAAACTGCCCGTTGCCTGGTGAACCCCGGCTTATCGCATTCCCTCCTACCGTTCAACACCATCAGTTTGTTGGGGGGGGGGGGGTTCGATTGTGTTTTTGCTCAGGTTAGAGTTTGTGTTAGGGAGGGCGGGAGTTCGTTGATGTTTGTGCTCAAGATGGAGGTTGTGTTTGCTCAGGTTTTGTTTTCTTGGGGTGGCGCGGTGTGTCACGGTCCTTTGGGTGTCCTCATGCACAAATATTGTTGTTCGTGCTTTCGGGAACCCTTGTGTGCCCTGAGAATAGCGAGAAACCGGGACGGAGGACGCCGGGATTTCGTCGGCCTGGCAGGCATTGCGCTGGGCCGGGGGGGGTTCAGATGGGAAATATTTTGTTACAGCTCCGATTGCGGCGAGTAAAACTTGGACTGGAGCTACGGCTGTTGCCGTGTGCTTTCCGTCGGTGTTTTTGAGTCCGGCGGCCCCCTTTCTTCTTTCTGCCGGGGACCTTGTATCCAGTGTCTATCGACCGAAGAAAACGTCTTAGGCGCTAGCCACACCTCGTTGCACCCCGTCCCGACACCCCTCACCTTGTCGATAGTCGACCTGAGTGGTATGCTAGCACCCCGCCCATCTACTGTCGTCTGAGAAGATGGATTTTCATCTTGTTGAAATGTTCGAAACACCCGCCGCCGTCGTCGCCGCCGCCACCGCAACAGGTCGACCCTGCCAGCAGTAGCAGTTCGGTGGGCGTGACGGTTCCGGGGGGAGGGATAACGCGAAGAATGTTGGACGTGCCCTACCCTGCCGAGGTGATGATGGTCGACGGGAGGGAAGAGATCGGACAAGAGAGTGGAAAGCGACCGGCGCTGTCGGGGGTTGCTGAGAGGGAGAGAGAGAGAGATAAGAGACAGAGAGACAGAGACAGGTTTAGCATAGGGTCATGGGAGTCGCGTATGGTATTGCGACAACGAACCAGTTGTTCCGCCCTGCACCCCGACGTGATCACCATGATTCCTGGTACGTATTCGGCAGAGCCTCCTCTGCCCTCCTGCAGTCCCTTGGGGCTATGTTCGCGTGCGCGCACAAGCACGCGCCACGATCTGTGACCAGTCCGCGTGCCACACGTTACGAGAAAATGCAAGCTTACCGAAACACTATGCCCTGATCTGTCCCAATCCTTTCCAATCAGAGTGCTGTCGAGGCTGCGGCCGAGATTGCTCTGGCGGACAAGCTGTACTTCTCGGAGCTGGCCATCAGCCCCATTCGGGTGCAAGTTTCTCTGACCAGCAGGTACGGTGCCCCCCCTGCCCAATGTGTTGGAGGCGAAGGTAGGTACCGTAGGTGACACAAGATCCCACACCCGTGTGGTAGCATTTTTGAAGGTCCAGAAGTTGTCGCACGGGTGTGGTGCTCTGTAGGGGGTGTGATATCTTGTGTGACCCGTGTGATAAACTACTCTCAGAGGATTACACCCCGCAGGGTGTGTGAAAACAGCGGGGTGTGATAAAGAAGGGTGTTTGGTAATGTCAACTGAGCTGTGCTTACACGACCCGGTGTGGTAACAAGGAAGTGTGATCAAGATGGGGTGTGAAAATGTCACCCGTGGGAAGAAGTGCGTCCGCACGACCCAAACTACAGCGTGTGCGGTAACGAGGGGTGTGATAATCATGGGGTTTGATAACGTTACACCTATCATGAAGTGCTCCCACAAGATTTCTGGGCTGCGGGTGGTGTCGTGTTGGCGTCAGCAGCACGGGCGGTGCCAGGCACAGCAGGTATTGTTGGGGGAGCGTCAGCAGCAGGTTCTGCTGCGCGGGCCTCGGCAGCACGGGCGGTGGCAGGCACACCGGGTGCTGCGGGAGTCTCAGGCGCCACAGAAAGAAAATGCCGTAATTGGGCGTGGCGCTGCCGCTGGAGTCTGAGCCGCGATGCTTTGAGCAGTGTTGTGTCCTTGGTTCATCTCCGCGGTGTTGTCGGTCGTCAAGCTGTGTAGTGAGGGTTGCGGCGTGCGCTACGTGCGTGATCACGGCCTACCACACCGGTGTGATAAGGGGCTCCGTGACATACAATTGCGGCTCAACCTACTGTACGGGGTGTGGTGTGTTCGGTGACCGTGTGATAAATCGATGCTTTTTGCAGGACGCAAAAAATGATCACACCGGTGTGGTTTTCTGCACGTTGAGGGTGTAGAATCTTCTGCGTGTGTGCTATCTTGTGTCACCTACGGTATGTCAGCACGAATGATGCGTTTGAGCTGACCTTGACTGAGCACAATTACTTGAGTAACATCCGTTCGCGTTGTTTGTTTTTCAACTGTACGGTCAACCCCCCCCCCCTCCCCCCCCTCCCTGTTGGAGCTCAATGATTGGGTCAAATTTGTGGGGCGAAAGGCGTAGCTTACCCCGTCCGCGCCCCCCGTCCGCGCCTGTAGTTGTATCTGCACGTGTTGTCCAAGGTTGAGGGTGCGGCGATCGTCGGTGTATAGGCAGGCCTTCAGAGAGCTTCCGTGGCTGCAGTGTTGTAACCGTTGGAAAAACCGTGTGTCACATGTCTTTCCACCGGTTATGACAAGCCCCCGTCCGTCCACTTTCTCCCTCGTTGCGTTCACGAAAATATTTGTCGCTAAATAGACAGGAAGACGACGTGCGTGGGCGTTTTTTCGGTTCGTTGGTATTTGTGCCTCAAGGGGAGATCTGGGATATTACCCACACGCACAGGATGGCGCGCATGTTTTCAGCACCCCGCCACAAGTAAAATGGACACTGTTCTTAATCGGTCAGCTGGTCAGCGAAGTCTATCTCGAGACGGCACTTTGAAATACACACACGAGTACAAACACGCAGAGAGACACAACAAGCAAACATCTTCAAGTCTTGCCACCTTGCTACACACTACACACAGACATGTTCCGATTGGTCGGCCGTCGTGCTAGGAAAACGTAAAATGAGTCAACCGCCGCTGTGACACATTTTTGAGCAGATCTGACGGAGTGCTCCAACACCTTCTGCCGCCGCCGGCGAGAAGCTCTGTCAACGCGGCCGCCGGTGCCGGCGGCGGCGGCGGCGGCGGCGGTGCGATCTTGTTTGCGGTGCTGCGGGCGATGGGGACGACCATGAGCGAGATCGAGAACGCACCCCTCCGCTTGAAGGCTGTGGTGCTGTCGCACACTTTCATCACCAACCCCGACGAGCTTGTCCAGATACTCGTCGCGCACTACCGGGGGCAGGTTAGTTGTTCGCTCGTTCGCTCGTTCGCTGCAGTGTGCTTAGTTGGGTCGTCTGCCTTGTGTTGTTGCTTCTTTGCTTTTGTATCGGGTTGTTGTTAAGGGAGGAAGAGGAGCGAGTTGGAGGAAAGGAGGAGGTGGTTTTGGGAACGAACCAACTACTGACTTTGCTTTCCTGGCGTGAGGAAGCCCCCGCCCCCCCCCCTCCGCATGCCAGATTTTCGTCTCTCTTGCTCGGTCTGCCTGTCTGTCTATCTGTCTGGTTCTCCCTCTGTCTATGTCTGGTTTTCCCTCTGTCTATCTCTCTACTCGCATCATTGAGCCCCTTTTACCCCTTTCTTCGATACCGCTCAATCGGCCGGCTTGTGTGTGAGTGCGTATTGGCATATTCTGCACATAGTTCACGCCATTGCTTCATTCGCCCGTCCGCCCGCCCGGCTGCCTGTCCCCGACGCGTCAAAACGTTTGTTCCACCGCAGGCCGTGCGCCAAGTGTTCAGCGTGCTGGGTAGCTCTAAGGTTCTCGGCAGCCCGCTGGGTTTGCTCTCGAACTTGCAGGCAGGGGTCAAGGTGAGTGAGGAGGGCGGCATGCACGCCGTGGAGATGGAACACATGAAAACACTTTTGAGTACAATTGGAGGACATATGTCGGGATGCTTGAGAGTGTCTATTGTACTTGCCCTGTTCCTAACAAAAGAACGAATTGCGTGCGTTGTGTCGGTAGCCGGTTTTGGTTGGTTCCTGCTTCTTTTTTGTGGGAGTCCTCTCTTTGTGGTGACACTTTGCGATGCTGCCCTCCTGTTTTGGCTGTGCTCGCCTCCCTCTGATTGCCTTCGTTTTTTTTGTTCTGTGCTCGCCCTCCCGCTTATTGCCTTCGTTTCCTATTTTTGTCTGTGCTTGCCCTTCCGCGTATTGCCTTTGTTCCGACAGGATTTCTTTTACGAGCCAATCGCCGGGCTCAGCCGTAGCCCCTTCGGCTTCGCCACCGGGTTGTTTAAGGTGGTTGATGGCGGCGTGACAGCGAGCACAGCATGCCACTGAGGGTTGTGCGGTAGTGTAGCTCGCCTGCGTGTGCGAGCATAAACATGAATAACGATTTTAGGATCGTACAGCAGCCAGCAGGGTAGAAAAACTAAAAAGTCGCTCACGGTGAAGAATTTAGGTGGGGGACAAACATATGGCAAGCGATTGAATTGGACTCAACGCGTGCTGTGGTATGGTGACGTGTGAATAGTCATTAATTGCAGCAGCAAACACTCTCAGTACATTCAGCAGACCTAATCGTGTTTACCGCACGTTCCTCTCGCCAGCTTCCGTCTTCGCTCGTCTGCTCGTTTGCCTTCCCCCCCGCATGCACACGCCCCCCCCGGTGTTTGCCATCGGGATTGGGTTTTCGTCGCTTGGCAACGACGTTGTAAAACAAGCCAATTCACTCCGTGAACTCGGCAACCAGGTTCCCTTTTTTTTTTTTTACCTCCGTTTTTTTTTTTTGCGGTAAACCATAATGGTAGTCGAGTAGATCATGTTGTGCGGGGTGGAGAACACTCGCTCCGCGCAAGGGGGATGATCGCACCACGTTGTGTT